GTTAATACAACGGAAACACCACTAGCATCAGTCCAGAACACTGGATCCGGGACACAGTCAAACCTCTTCAGCACTGCCACTGATAGGAAAACTCAATGCTTCTCAGCAACACACAACAAACAGGATCCAATCACTTCTGGCAAAATGGGATCATTCTGATCCTCATCAAAGGTCTGTCTCTGAAAGGCTTCAAAGCTCATAGCAGCATCATTCTCTGGCAGTCCTGGGGTTAACTGTCCATCTCCAGGTTTACACACATCAAATTTCACCCACTGGTAATTGACACATTTTCGAGCTCCTGGACAACTCTGGATCAGATTGTGAATGGTTGGATGACAAAATCCAAAGGAATCAGCTCCAGATGGAAGCAGGTTCGGAATTAACTTCCCCATAGAAGCACTTATGGTCTTGAGCAGTTCTGTGTGACAAGCATCTGCAGAACAGTGGACAATGGCATTCTGGGGATCATCTTCAGGAACAATTTCAAACTGTGGCTGCACACCACCATCCTTGATCTGACAGGTATACAGACACTTCTGGTCTGGGGACTTCATGCTGACATATACTCGAGTACTGCAGTAGCCCACAGGGTAGATGGCACATTCATCATGGAAGCCAGGTCGGTCGGTGATAATCTTCCAGTTTGTTGTTCTCTTTGCCTTTTTCTTTTTTCTCTTTCTTAGATTTCTTCCCAAATGGTTCTTCAGCACCAGTGCTGGGTCCAGAAATGGACCCAGCTCCCTGTATTGCTCCCATAGAGTTGGCCACACCATATGTCAGGGGCAAACTGGAGCTATGGGAAGGAGTTGCAGACTGTGCTTCCCCTTCAGTTAGAGCCGGAACTTGGAGGAGCTTCTTTAGCAAGTACCTACTTTCTTCTTTTGCTTTAAGAAATTTTTCTTCAAGACGAGCAATTTCATCACAAATAGCAGCATTTTCGAACACCGTGGCTTTGGCTGCCTTCCGCAACCGGAGGTATTTCAGCCTGTACTTCTCATTCTGGCTCTTCTTCGGAAGCTTTTTCATTTTGGTCTTGCTGGAGTACAGCGGTGTCCGCGGCGAGGGAGCGAGGCTGCTCAGTAAACTCATGATCCAGCCCCGCTA